TGCTGATGGTTTTTAATTATTGTATTATATATTTTTCATATGTTAACTGGAATCTGCTGTGAGTCTTGGTAAATTCATTGATGTAGAAATATAATGTAATACAATTCGGTCCAATGTAATGTAATGCAATATGAATGTACATATGTATGTAATTTAATTAGTGCTATGAATGGTTTGAAATTCCTATTAACATATAGCCATAAAATCTGTTCCAGTATTTAAAATGTCAGTAAGTTTATATACTGCTTTAAAAAATACAGTTCCATAAAACTGGAAGAACCCTATATTTTCTGCAAAAAGCTCTTAAAACAACCAATATAATGGATTATATTTTTTTCTGGAATAAGCAACCTGTTTGCCTTTAAAAAATGTTGGCAATGTAGAAAAAACATGTTGCCAAGTTTTTACGTATCTTACTTCTCCATTTCATCATATGTTATGTAACATATATATAACATATGATGACAATTAAAGATAAAAGAAAACAATATTTTCTAGTATTCTCTTGGAATAAAGGAAAAATAAGTCACATTTAAGGCAAAATGAATATTGCTAAATAGGAAGCAAAAGTGTTAGATATTTTAGCTACTTTGAGTTGAATATATATATATATATTTTCTTAAGTTTTCGTGGGTACTTACATATATGGTATTCAGCTTTGTTCGGGTATTTTCCCATGTCATTGTAGTTGTGCTTTTAAAGTTGTAGCAACGTTTCGGCAGAATCTCATCTGCCATCATCAGGCTTCTGTATAGTGTTCATCTGTGAGTCAGGCTTTTATAGTGGTTTCAGATTTAAATCTGGGGCAGCCTATTGCTGTGCCAGAATGGTTTTTTCTTCATCCTGATTGGTTGGGAGTCTTGGTCTGTGTTTATTGGTCTTGGAGTTTGCTGTGTTCTGCTTGATTGGTGTTTCTAATATCTTTTGTCTGTTTTGGGGCTCTTTTTGTATCTTGATTGGCTGGCAACATTGTATTCCTTTATTGGAGGCCTTTAGTGCAGCTTGGCTCTGGGTAAATGGACGGCTATCATTTGTTAGGAAGTTAGGTTTCATCTGGGTGCCTGGTTGGGGTATGCCTGGCCTGGTACTAATCTACAAAAAAACAGATGGCACACTAGGACACACCGTATACCAGAAGAAAACACACACTAACCGCTACCTCAATGCCCAATCCCACCACCACCCAGCACAGATAAACTCCATGGCTAAAACACTAATTGCTAGAACCAAATCCCTGGCAGACAAGACACAAATAAAGACTGAACTATGCATCCCAACTAAAGCACTGACAGCCAACGGCTTCCACAAAAGCAAAATCACCAGCTTGATCCACAAAAACACACTGAGACATAATGGAGACCCAGAAGATGAACAGACCTATGGAGCAGCTGTCCTGCCCTACAAAAGAAGTACTACAGACAAAATCAGTAAGATACTACACAGACATCACATCAAGACTTCCTTCAAAACAGACAGAAAAATAGCAGCCATCCTAAGAAACCCCAAAGATAAAATTGACCTGGAAAACCAAGGCATATATGAAGTCCCCTGTGCATTTTGCCCAGCCACATACATAGGACAGACCAATGTACCCGCCTGGATGAACACAAAAATGCAGTCAAAAAGCTGTAACACACTTCCTCACTAGTCCAACACATGGAAGCCACAGGTCATAGTATCAACTTCAATGGCACCAAAATCCTAGCCACTATAGAAAACCCCAGCCACAGAATTATCAGAGAAGCCATAGAGATTGAAAAAAGACCAGAAAGCATGAATAGAAGAGATGATTCCACCAGACTGTCAATCATTTGGAAGCCTGCACTCACAAACAAAAAAATCTCCACACCACTAGCCAGAAAAGCACCTGGACACAAACAGATCCCCCCTGATACCTCCAGCTCAAACACACCCCAACCAGGCACCCAGATGAAACCTAACTTCCTAACAAATGATAGCCATCCATTTACCCAGAGCCAAGCTGCACTAAAGGCCTCCAATAAAGGAATACAATGTTGCCAGCCAATCAAGATACAAAAAGAGCCCCAAAACAGACAAAAGATATTAGAAACACCAATCAAGCAGAACACAGCAAACTCCAAGACCAATAAACACAGACCAAGACTCCCAACCAATCAGGATGAAGAAAAAACCACTCTGGCACAGCACTAGGCTGCCCCAAATCTAAATCTGAAACCACTATAAAAGCCTGACTCACAGACGAACACTATACAGAAGCCTGATGATGGCAGATGAGATTCTGCCGAAAGGTTGCTACAACTTACCATTACAATAATAACAATAATAATGTACACTATAGGCAGAATCTCCAGTTTCTGTTGAACCAGAAACTGGAAACGTTTGTACCAATCTATCAATGGAGAGACTGTAATGAACCAGTCAAAACCTGACAGAGAAACAATGCAGTTCTGGTTGCAGCTATGGGACAACACAAAGTAATACAACATGAATGCTGTTTAGATAAAATTGATAGATAAGAATTTTAAAAAAAAGTTGAAATGAAAGAACTTATAATAACAGCAGAAATAAAGGAGAAAAGGGAAGGAAAATCAAGAACTGGTCAGCATCAGGTGAAGATGAACTGCATGGTGTTTTGTTAAAAGATGTTTGAAGGAATCACACAGCCCCATGAAATAACACTAAGTGTCTGGATGAAGAAGATTACTACAAATATCTGGGCATCCTTCAGGCTGACAACATCAAGCACACTGAAGTCAAGAAGTAAGTTGGTAATAAATGCATCAGAAGATTGTAGAAGATCTTAAAGTTCAAAATCAGTGGAGGAAATATCATCAAGTCAATTAATATCTGGCCAATTCCAGTCATTAGATATAAAGCTGGAATAGTGGAGTGGACTCAAGCTGAATTAGAAGCCCTGGCTAGGAAGACCAGAAGAATAATGACAATGAATCATGCCTATACTTGCACAATGATGTTGATTGATTGTACTTACCAAGGAAAAAAAGGTGGACATGGAATATTGTAAGAACAGCAGACATTGAAGAAGATCAAAAGGGCATTGGATGAATATCTAAAGGCCATGAAGAAGATGCACTGAAGCTAGTATACCATGAAGACTTACTGAATACCAAAGAGATCAACTGGACCTAGAAGAAAGACCCAATGAAGAATAAAAAAAAACATGGCAAGGCAAAGTATACATGGCCAGTAAATTGAAAAAAAAATCTACCAGGCAAAACAGATAACAACACCTGGCAATAGCTAACAGCAGGAAAGCTGAAGAAAGAGACAGTGGGGCTAATTCTGGCTGCATAAGACCAAGCCTTAAAATAAATGCATAAAAGAGACAGCATTAAGAAAACAGCAATAGGCACTAAATGCCACCTCTGCAAAGAAGCTGAAGAAATGGCAGACCATCTACTTAGCTGCTGCAAGAGGATCATGCAGACTGATTACAAATGATAGCATGACTAAGTAGCAACAATGGTGCATTGGAATATTTGCAAGAAATACCATTTGCTTCTAAGCAAGAACTGATGGGGGAATCACAAAATAGACAAAGAAATAGAAAACAAAGAAATAAGATTCAGATGAGAGTGATGAGAATGTTAAAACATTTCTCAATAGTGGACATCACAATACCTGGGGACCAGAGAAGAGAAGAGAAAGAACTGGAGAAATTGACAAAATATAAAGATCTTGCAAATAGAAGAAAAACAAAGCAAAGATATACCAACACTGATTGGCACCTTGGGTACAATCCCAAAACATCTTTATACCATTGTCACTGACAAAATCACCATCAGTGAAATGCATGAGAGAGCTTTACCTGGAACAGCTTGTGTCTTGTGATGATATCTTTAATACTATTGAACAACAATATCTGTCTATCCTAGAACCTTTGGAAAGACTTGATAAGTAGACCAAACTGCCAGATTCAATCTCAACATTTGACTGATTGTGTCATGAACCACAACTTTTAGAAATGTTTCTCTAAATGTAGTAGAGAGAAGTACTGCTTAGAATAATTAAAAAGAAATTAAAAAGAAATCTACAAAACAATTCACTGGATAATTTCTTTACCACAACAGCAAGACAGGGAGTCAGTGGTGCACATTGTTTAATTAAGCTATAACACCAAGTTTAAAATAAGGATATTAATGTAACAGTGATTATACAAATCATATTAACATTCAGACCCTGCAGAGATTCTATTAACCTTGCCTTGCAGCATATGCCAAGGTGCCTCAACCCCATTTGTACACACACGTAAGCGGAATCTTTCCAAATCTGTAAATTTGAGTCTCTAGATTAAAACAGGGGTGGGAAAGCTCTAGCTTTCCAGATGTTTCTTGAATTCAACATCTGCAGCACCAGCAAGAAGGTGGGGGATTCTTTGGTATTATCTAGAGGACTTTTAATTCCCATTTTTGATACAAACCAAGACTTTTCTTTCTGAGATGGTTGTATGACAGCATAAAATATGGTATAACATGAGAATTTACACCATATCAGCAATATAGATGAAATTAAAATCAAGTGCTTCTTTAATATATGTTTGTTACCTTTTTAAAAGAAAATCAATGACAAAAGATTTTTAAGAGTAAAAAGTTAGATGATCTGACATTTCTCACCTGGGAAATGTGATAAAAGTGGTGATATCTTCTCCCAATTTTAAAGAGGAAGGCATTTTGTCTAAATGAAAAAAAAAACAGAGTCATATGTTTTTGGAAATGAAATCCCCCTCATTCTCTTATGTGATGTAATGGAATTAAATTGGCTTAATATATATATATATATATATATATGTGGAGGGTGCTCCCATATATACGGGGAGTATCTGAAACTGCTGCATGCATCCTCTTGGAGCATGGAGACAAGGTGATGCACAAACCAGACCAAACTCTAAGAATGAGAGTGATGCACCCAAAGGAAACACTACCCGCATCTACTTTAGTGACTGTAAAAGCAATTACGTAGGGGAAACAGCCAAGCTGCTACAGACCAGAATACAAGAACTGGCTGTCCGACTAGGCACGCACACCCCAAACTACCTCGATTCCAACCACAACTGGCCTTAAATGCAAGCTACTCAATGCAAGAAGCCTTGTAAATAAAATACCTGAATTTCTCCTCTTACTAAATACGGCTAAATTTGACATTATATTTCTCTTTGAAACATGGCTCAATGCATCTCTCCCTGACTCCATTATCATAGTAAGAGACTATCATGTTTACCAATCAGATCATGAAATCTGTAGAGGAGGTGGTTTTGCTTCTTCTATAAAAAGTCCCTACATCTAAAAAACATCCAAGTTACCCAAGAACTTGCTCTTCCTGAGACCATCATCTGTGAACTGTCCTTAAATATCACATTTCAGTTCTTACTATGTTACAGAGCCCCGGATTATGACATCGAACATGCAAACAAGCTAAATACACTACTAACATGGGCAGCATCCTGCCCACACATTTTTATCTTTCTTGGTGACTTCAATCTACCTCATATTAACTGGACCCTTAACGAATGTACAACTGAACCCACGCATGCAATCTTCTACAATGCAGTAACCAATCTGGGACTAGAACAACCAGTAACCAACAAGACTAGACTTAACAACTGCCTTGATCTCATCTTCTGCAATAATTTGAATTCAATTTACAGAATACAAACTAAAGAACCCCTTTCCAACAGTGACCACAACATCATTGTTTTTTGTCTCAACATACATCCACACAAAAATCATCAAAACAACGGAATCACCAATTATAACTTCAAAAAAGGCAACTATGATCTTATAAACAATGGTCTCTCATCCCTTGATTGGCAATTTCTATTCTCTGGATGCAATACTGTAGAAGACCATTACAACATATTTTTACTTGAAGTCAAAAGAGTCATCAAACTATATGTACCAATAACAACGCTCAAAACCAGAAAAAACAAATTACCCATAACAATAAGGCAGCTTCAATCCCAAAAGAAATCACTTTGACGGAAAAACAAATCTGGTCACGTAGCCTACTTCAAAAGCCGATTCAAAAATTTATGCCACCATATAAAGACTGACTGCACCAATTATCACATTAAACAAGAAGAAAACCTTCTATACACCAATTCTACCCACACTTTCTACAATTTTGTAAACAACAAACTAAAAGACTCAAGGTCCATCCCACCCCTGATAGGACCTAATGGTAAAGACTGCAACGACGACACTATTAAAGCCAACCTCTTTAACACATTCTTTAGCTCAGTATTTGTAAACAGCAATAGATCATGCCCAGTATTTCGAACCACAGACAACTACAATGATCTAATACATATTGACTTTACAGAAGACAATGTTGAAAAAGCACTATGCAATCTAAAACCATCTCTATCTATTGGACCGACGGAATATGTGCCTACTTCTTAAAAAAGCTATCCACTCCCATAGCCGAACCTCTAAGCATAATCTTTGAAAAATCTTTCAGGACCAGCTCCTTGCCAAAACTATGGTCACAAGCCACGGTCATCCCCATCTTCAAAAAGGGAGACCCCAGCCTAGTTGAAAATTACAGACCAATCTCTTTATGCTGCATCACCTGTAAAGTCATGGAATCAATTTTTAACCAATCCATCATCCTCCACTTAGAAACAAACAATCTACTCTCTAATAAACAATATGGTTTCAAGAAAAAAACTATCATGTAATCTGCAACTCTTACACTACAAAAACATATGGACTATACAACTCGATCAGGGCAAAGCAATAGATGCAATCTACATAGACTTCTGTAAAGCCTTTGATTCAGTGGTACATGACAAATTACTCCTAAAACTAAAATCTTACGACATCTGTCAGCCTTCAAGATTTTCTCCCTTTGCTTTGCATCTGTCAGCTGTCATAAGTAACAGGGAGGAGTGGGGATATGGTTATGGGAAGTTTGCTGGAGATGTTACAAAACAGAATTGTATAAGTTGGGGGGGAAGGTTCTTGCTTAGGCTTCTATCCTATGCTATGCGCAGCTGCAACTCTTTATCAAAATATGTCAAGGTCAACGGACAGAGGCCTCATCACCACCTTGAGATGCCCACATGATGATATACACAACTTTTAATTGGATGAGCTAATTGAACTATTGGGGAAGGGAATGTTGCCATCACTTTGTATATGTGATTTACGCGCCCATTTTCTCAGATTCAGAATTCTGTTGTTGCTACCACTTGATTTCCAGTAAAATATATCTTTGCTCTAATTAATGTAGTCTAAGTATTTCTTTCTTGGATTTTGAATGGAGCACCAGTTGACAATATGTCTGGACACCTGCATAACTGGATAGAAGCATTCCTGTCAAACAGACAACAAATGGTCAAAATTGGGAGCGTCCTATCAAATTCTGTACCTGTCAACAGTGGTGTCCCCCAAGGCAGTGTTTTAGGACCAACTCTTTGCATACTCTACATAAATGACCTCTATGATCATATTAAGAGCAACTGTGTTCTCTTCGCTGATGATGTAAAACTATTCAACACCACATACAATACTGCTACCCTTCAAAAAGACTTCAACTATGTGTCAGAATGGTCAAACAAATGACAACTTCAAATCTCAACAAATAAATGTTCTGTCTTACATATTGGCAAAAAAATAATAATCAGAAAATAAAATACAGACTGAATAGTCAAGACCTTGTTGGTGACCCAAACTTTGTCAAGGACCTTGGAATACTCATCTCTAATGATCTAAGTGCTAGAGCACACTGTAACTACATAGCCAAAAAGGCATTAAGAGTTGTTAACCTAATCTTACGTCGCTTTTTCTCTGGTAATATTACACTAATAACTAGAGCATACAAAACATTTGCTAGACCAATACTCGAATATGGCTCATCAGTCTGGAACCCACATTATGTATCTGATATTAACACAGTTGAGAAAGTCCAGAAATATTTCACAAGAAGAGTTCTCCATTCCTCTACTCATTGCAGAATGCCTTATGCCACCAGACTTGAAATTTTAGACCTAGAAAACCTAGAACTACGCCGTCTCCGGTCCTATCTAAGTATAGTATATAAAATCATACATTGCAATGAAAACTGTCAATGAAAACTTCAGCTTCAATCATAACAATACAAGAGCAAACTATAGATACAAACTTGAGGTTAATTGCACCAAACTTGATTGCAGGAAATACGACTTCAGCAACAGAGTGGTCAATGTCTGGAATACTCTACCTGACTCTGTGATTTCTTCCCCAAACCCCAAAAACTTTAACCTTAGACTGTCTACTATTGATCTCACCCCTTTCCTAAGAGGTCTGTAGGGGGCGTGCATAAGCACACCAACATGCCTACCATCCCTGTCCTATTCTTTTATTTTTTTATTTTTCTTATGTGTATCCATGTATTCATAACTATGTTTTTTACTTATACCTATTATCTTGCAAGCAATTGACAAAACAAACAAACAAACAAACAAACAAAAAACAAACAAAAACAAACAAACAAACAAATAAATAAATAAAAACAAAGAACAGCGCTCTCAGATCTGGGTACATATACAGGAGCATAATCACACATTCAGTTTTCAAGAGGCTGAAGTTGTTGTTGACCGTGATATAACTAAAGGAGAATGCATACTAAAAGAAGCCTGGTTTTCCAACAGCAATTCTCTCAATAGGCATATTGAACTACCACTGGCCTACCAAACATTGAAACACCAGGAAAGACCCTGCAGAAGGAGCAGAGACCACTTCCCATCGGGGAGCAGAGACCAATGGCACCCCCACCCACCCCTCACTCCTATGAATGCACAACCAGGCTTGTTCAAATACAGAGGAGCCTGGCAGAGCTGCCTCAACTATAACAGACAGGAATAATTAAGAACAAGCTGGGCTAACCACAAAGCCATGAGCAAAGCAACAAACTGCAATAACTAGCAGGTTAACATCACTTCTTAGAGATAAGCAGTCCAGGCCGGGTCTCTCAAGGGAGGAAAGAACAAGAGTTAAACCTCCATTGGCCAACATGACTAAAGCAAAACCAACAAGGTTAATTACAGGTGGGAGGTGGTTGGCAGGGCCTATTACGCATGCAAGGGCTAAATTTATTAATGATATATAAAGGCATAGATCTCTGTAATGGTAGCTTAATACTCTGATGATGTCAGCAGAGGCTGAGGTGCTCATATTGCAGCACTGGTCCAAAGGGCCCAGCAGAGATTATACTACCTGAGACTTCTCAGAAAACAACTGAATGAAAAACTGCTGGTGACCTGCTATCGCTGCGCCATAGAGAGTATCTTAACTTACTGCACCTCTGTATGGTTTGCCAATTGCACAGTGGCAGATAGGAAAGTACTCCAGAGAGTTAATGTCATTGCCCAGAAGATCATTGGTTGCCCTCTCCGCTCTTTGGAAGAGCTTTATAGCTTCTGCTGCCTTAAAAAAGTTCAAAATATTCTCAAAGATTCATCTCATCCCGGGCACCCTTTTTTTTTTTTTTTGAACTATTGCCATCTGGCAGATGGTACAGAATATTACAAACAAGCACAAATAGGCTGAAAAACAGCTTCTATCCCAAGGCAGTAACTCTTTTGAATTCTACTGTATAGTGAAGTATTGGTGCGGTGTTGCAGGTTTTCAGTTCAATATGTAGAGTATGAAGGATGTGTGTGTTTATTTTCATGGTCATGATGTGCACTGAAGATGGTGTTTGATTTTGTTGTACAAGGTGCAGTGACAATAAAGTAAATAAAATATAATTTTAGTTCCGGAGATCACAAGTTGTCTGTTTCTTCTCTTACACACATACACACACACACACACACACACATTTTTTTGTGTGTGTGTGTTTGTAAGTTCATTCAGAAGCCAATCATATTTTTAAAACTTTTTTTTTCATTTTAAATAGAGTTTAAAATGCCAGTTTCCTCTCTTTATTCTAGTGACATAAATCTTTTGTAATTAAAGTCATCAAATTTGTTTAGAGAGAGGAGTAATATAAATCAATTGACATAAATATGTTAACTTATGAAAGTTTTATCATTTTCAAAATACATTATAGACACAGTATTATAATCTACCAGTCCACTTCATTCACATATTCTTTAGGATGCAAGGTATTTTACCAATCAGTCTGGATTTCATCCTGGAATTTACAGCCCTATTCAGAATTTGTCTTAACGTTTAGCCCAAACATTAATTAATGATGATCACTAGACTGACCTCTAATTTATATGCTGCCCATCTGACTGTTACAGAGACTCTGGGTAACTTACAACATGATAAAAAGGTAAAAAAACATAATAAGGTTAAACAATTAAAATTAAAAGGATTAAATAGCTAAAAATCAAGATGATGGGCAATGAATGGCTGGGGATCTATTCTCCCATGAGCTGCTCAGAGCATCCAGTAGTGGGAGGTGCTTCAGTCTCTGCTTATCTAGGCTGGGCTTAATTTGCGGAACGCTCCTCCTCCTCCACGGGACTCCTCCCCAGCTTTCCCCAGTTTTGGTTCAGCCTTGTGAGAGATAGGCAGTGCTTCTGATTAATCCTTGGCCGAAACAGGAGAATTCGCTTTAAGGTTTGCAGATAGTCAATTGTTCTTTTCTTACCAACGCTGCCCTTGACATCTGGCCGTCGGGGATCGCATTATCAGGAAGCACTCCTAAGCGCAGGCAGACTTCACATGCATTTCACACACCCCAACCGCTAGCCCTACCCTTGCCATTATGATCACGGAGCTGTTTTATCATTTAAACGGTGAGGCATTTTTTCTCTCTCTCTCACTCTCTCCTGAGTCGTATCACAGTTTCTCCTTTCCCCCAAGAATGCCATTTGGGGTGAAGGTGTAATTGCCTCATTATTTCCCCCCTCCCCGCTGGTTTAGCCCTAAGGGAAGGCTGTTGGAGCTTATCTCTTTTTCTTGGCGGGAGATTGCTGCTGGTGCGCACGCCACATATAACATCCAGTCGCCATTTTTTTTTTTTTTTACTGTCAGGAGACCGCATTGAGTGCTAATTCAATAGACTGTGTGAGGTAATCCTTATTCCGGATTGAAGGGGTTTTTCACACAAAATACCCCGAGGAATCATTACAACCTCATTTTCAACATATTCGAGGCTTTTGTTAATTTGTGTTGTTGGCTCAACCCTCACAGTTCTCCCTATCCAGTGCACAACAGCGAGCACCTAGGCCAGTGTCCTCCTGTGCAGGGAAGCTGTTGAAGGCCTGTGAGTGATTGTTAACCCAAGGACCCCTTCAACATTCGTACCCTCAATGGTTGCACCTGAACATCTGCAGGTTGAGCGGAGTCGTCTGAAGAGTGAAAAGTTTTCTAACAGAGTTATTGCCACCATCCAAGCTGCCAGATGCCCCTCAACAACTCGCATCTACAATGCCACGTGGTCCAGTTTCTGCAAATGGTATACCAAGTCTCAAATTGATCTCATTTCTCCATCTCTGGTGCAGATCCTAGAGTTCTTACAAGAGGGGCTTGACAAGGGATTATCACCTAATACGTTGAAAAGACAAGTGGCGGCCTTGGAGTCAGTCATCACTTATGAAGGTCTCCTATCCCTTTCCCATCATCCACACATACAGTGTTTCCTTCGAGGAGCCACAAACTTACGCTCGCCAACAGTTCACCGTTATCCCACTTGGGACCTTAACAAGGTCCTTCTTGCACTCACTAAGTGCCCTTTCGAGCCTTTTCAATTGTCAAGTCTCCAATTTCTGACGTATAAAGTAGTTTTTCTTGTAGCGATCTCTTTCGCTCATTGTATTTCAGAACTGGCAGCTTTGTCGATCAGACAAGATCTTTGTGTCTTCCATTCCTACAGGGTCATCCTTCGTCCCGATCCTACGTTCATACCCTAAGTTAATTCAGCTTTTCACAGGGCACAAGAACTGATACTTCCTAATTTTTGTCCCAGGCCATCCCAAGGGCTGGAATGACAATGGCATCGGCTGGACGTGAGGTGAGCGTTACGAATATATATTCACCGCACGGCGTCTTTTAGAAAAACGGAGGCTTTATTTGTGTCTTTTCAGCCCAACAATCAGGGATGCAAGGTCTCATCTTCCACAATAGGCCGTTGGCTATGGGCCGCAATAGTGAAAATGTATCAGACTCAAGCACTTCAGGTGCCCAAGGGCATAACACCTCATTCAACAAGGAGCGCCACAACATAGGCAGCATGGGCCACGCAGGCACCAATCACTGACATCTGTCATGCCACAACCTGGGCCTCTCCATTGCCTTTCATTGGGTATTATAAAATAGATGTGTTTGCATCACCCGAGGCCTCCTTTGGCAGAAGGGTTCTGCAACGGGTCCACAGGGACCAAGAGGGGATCCCAAGACAGACAGAATCCCTTCCGTAGGACAGGCCAAGCTTTGGTATGTCCCACTACTGGATTCTTTGAGCAGCTCGTGGGAGAAAGGGAGTTGGTGCTTACCTGACACGCCCGTTCTCCTTGAGCTGCAAAGAGCATCCAGCCCCACCCTCTTCTGTCTGGTGGGATCCTGTTTCGACCAATTAATTTTTACATTATTGAGGGCGAGGGTGTTTGTTTCTCTCATCTTCGCCAAAACTGGGGGATGCTGGGGAGGAGTCCCGTGGAGGAGGAGGAGGAGGAGCGTTCCGCAAATTAAGCCCAGCCTAGATAAGCAGAGACTGAAGCACCTCCCACTACTGGATGCTCTTCGCAGCTCAAGGAGAACGGGCGTGTCAGGTAAGCTCCAATGCTCTTTCTCCACCCAATAACCACTCACAACGTATTGGGCCCCTATTGGGGCCAAGGCCAGCAGGTAAAGCCAGGTTTTAAGGCTCTTCTGGAAGGCCAGGAGTGTGAGGTCTGATCTCACCTCCAGTAGGAGAATATTCCAGAAGATGGGGCCACAGCAAAAAAAGTATCTTCCCTTGGACCCCACTGGCCCAAATTCTTTGGTAGGCAAGATCTGAAGTAAGCCTTTTCTGCTGGAGAATGTGGGAAAGGCTAGTCATTGGAATGTGGTGATTCCTCAGATAGCCTGGACCCATGCCATAATTTTAACAGAAGTTGGGCAAAAAAAGAGACAGGCCAGAAGAACTGCCCTTCTCCCTGATTTGGAAACAGTTGTCTAATGTATAATCCTTCCATTAGGTTGAATTCCTTGCCAAATCTCTGTATATAGTTTCTTCCTTACTAATTATTTCTATAATGTTTTACTTAGGTCACTAATTTACACCACCAGGCTGATAAGTGTCAAAGATTACAGTTCCCTGGGGTGCTTTATTATCCATGCAATTTCCTAAAAAGTATTGAAATGTTAATGTTCCCTTAATGTGGATTGTTTATGCTGAGACAATCTCCATTCTGTGTGTCTTAACTGCCTTACTACATGGCTCTAAAAAATAGAATGATATAAAACAAGTTTAATCAACTACTAAGATTTATTATTGTTCAAATATAGTTTCTGCACTGGCTATTAAAGACAAATAATTTTGAAATCAAAGCCTTCAGTACTTCATCAAGACCACAGCTACAGACAAATATGTGTTCCTCAAGTCAGTCCAGTATTGTTTCTCAACCTTCCCTTAACCATGACTAATTTACTTTTAA